GCCCGGGACACCCGCGGCTCGCGCACACACACACACACACACACACACACACACACACACAGCCGTGCACACTCCCTGCACACACAGCCCCTATGCATGACCCCTGTGCACACACACAGGGCACATGCCCCCGTGCCACCCTATGCACACCCAAGCACACACATGTGCACGTCATGCACACATACTATTGACACCCCCTGTGCACACACACACACCCCGTGCACACACAGCCACCCCATGCACACACACCCACGCCGTGCACACCCACCTGCCCTGTGCACACACACACGCAGTGCACACTAACACACACATACACATAAACACATACACACACACACACACAGTTGGCCAGCTGGGGAGGTCCTGGCGAGCTGCCCCTCACTCAGCACCACTCACCCGCTCCAGCTCCCTGCACCACCAGCAAGGATGGATCCTTGTCCTGGGCATCTCCCCACACGGCGCCCGTCTCCACTGCCCGCACGGCCCCACCGCTCGCATGGCAATGCCGGAGCTCGAGCAGCATCGCCACGCTCAGGGCTCTGGTGAGAACGAGCCCACACAGGGGAATGGACACGGCCACCTTCTCCGTGGGTTTTGCTTGCACTGCTTGTGCTTGGATTTCCCTCGCGGTGCGGGATGCGAGCAGCGGGACGCGAGGCTGCCTCGTGCCAGGCACGTTTGCAGCCTCGCCTGCAGCTCCCGCACAGCTGAGCATCCTCCTGGGACCCACAGTTGGATCCTCGCTCTGCCAAGGACAACAACTCTGTTTACTCCTTGCGTTTTTTTTAACTGTTTGTTTTCATTTGGCTAAAGCAAAAGCACGTCTTGATTCCACTTCAATTCAGACAAAAATATAGGACATGACTTGTATCCGCTTCTGTCTTTACACCAGCCTCAACAGCACACGTCTTTTAAAGCTCTCAGGCCTCCTCTTCTTCTTGAGGGTGCCAAAATCTGAAGCAAGGGCAGCACTGAGCCAGCTGGCAGGAGCAGACACTGTGGGGAGCAAAGTGGCCTGAAGTTGGAGAGAAAGGGGCCAGCATGGCATGGCAGCATGGAGAGGCTGCACACAGGGAAGGCCGTGGAGGCTGGGCCAGCAAGCTGAGGCTCGTGGGGAGCTGAGGGAGGCCGGAGGTCCGGGGCCTGGCGCCGAGCAGGATGGCGCACGGGGAGCACTTGATCCAAGCGCCGGCGGCCCCACAGTGCAGGTCAGAGCAAGGTTTCCTTGCAAAACAAGAGCAGCTCTGTCTGCAAATGCATCCGTGTTTGCTTCGTATCTAGGAAGCAACTGATCCATCTGCTGTTGCACTTAAGAGTATGGATGATGAGCAAGTGGCTGGCTCGGAGCCAAGGGCGGCAGGAAACGCCAGCCCCAAGTTATTGTAACGTGGGGAAGTGTCTGCGGGGAGGGCACCTGCGCCCGGAGCGGGGCCGCTTGCTGACCTGGCACATCCTGCCGCAGCCGGGTTGTCCTTAGGGCTTTGGCCTCGGAGCTGAGAGGGGCTCAGTCGTGCTCGCTGCCAAATCACATCTCTCAGAAGACTTGGCTCCGGGTGTGGAAGTGTTTGTGCAGCTGCCTTTATCAGAATGGTTTCAGAAGCAGAAAGACTGTCTTGTGGAAAGGTGAACAGATTTCAAACTCAGCTTTAGACATCACCTCAGAAGTGTGGTATAAGGAGCTCAAATCCTAATGATCTCCGCCCTTAACTTTAGAAGTTAATGCTAATTCCTGTCAAGGCATTCCCGCCCATAGGGATCCCAGAAGAGCATGACAAGCAGATCCACACAAGCTCCGTTTGCTCAGGCGTTCCCAGAACCTTTGGTGTCTAGACAAAATCCTATCTCCCTGCAACGTGATCCAGAATGGGTTGTCAGCTACTTGGGTTTCCAAAGCTTTTCCTGACAGGTCTCCAGAGCTTGAGCTTGGTCATCCAGGGACTGTGTAAAGGATGATAATATTAACCTGAAGACCTCATGGAGAGCTAACGGGTGTTCCCACAGACAAAGTCTGGGGTAACTAAAGCTTGCTCATCGCTCAGAGAGCAGCTCGGCATTGCTGAGCCACCAGCGAGTCACTGTCTTCTTCCTGCAGAGCTGAACTTCCCAACAGCTTTAAACCAACAGTGTGAAACAGCACTTCACTGACGTGAGAGTCCTCTGAAGAACTCCAGTGTTTACCCAAACTGATAAGCAAATAGCAACAGCATCACCCTCTGCAGCAGCTTCCACCCCGACGGACTTGATGGACAAGAATTGCCAGCAAAAACCTCCAACGTTTTGCACTAAGAGCACATTGAGTTGCTCCATCCTATTCACTCTGGATACCTCCTGCTGAGAACAGTCGTTCTTGGGATGTTGCTGCTCGATAGCTGCAAGAGCTGGAGAGTGGTGGGGGCGTCACTGGATGCTGACCATCGGGCAACACTGGAAATGCTGATTCTGCTGCTGGAAGGCATCAGATCTGGGTCATCAGGGCTGGGATCCTTCAGCTTAGGGCGGGCAGGGGCCCTTCCTTCTTGTCCTTTGATGTGCTGCATCTCAACTCTGATCTGCCTGAGGCTCTTCAAGAAGCCAGGAGAGCACCTAGCTCCATGTAGCACCAGGGTAAAGCTCTTCTGTTCAGAGTTTTCTTGGGTATTTCGTCTGAGCACAACAAACCCTTCCAAGTCAAAGGACCTCCAGTCCCCTTAATGTACCAAATAGCAAGTGTCTAGCTCAGCATCCTGCCTACCTCAGTACCAGAAGTGATACTCAGCAGAAGTTTCAAATAAGAAAAGAGTCCCTTAAAAGTATGTGCACCTTCCCTGGCATTACCTTGGCTGTGCAAAGCTCCCAGGATGTCTCTGAGGTGAGGAGAAGCTGGATTCAAGGGCTGTGGCTCTTCCCAACCCACTCTTCCCCTAGGAACATAAAATTCAGCCACAGTCCTGCAAACACATGGGCACAGGTTGGGCGTTTGCTGCCTGCAATTTCATGGATTAGTTGCCTCGAGGACTGCTCAAACTGTGCGTAGCTATTCTGAGCAACAGGGATGCACCGAAACGTCAGCAGACTTCGTCACATTAAAAAGAAAGAAAAAAAAGAAAACCAAAAGGGGGGTAAGTTTGAACATAGACTCTTTTGAGCCATTTTGCAACTTTGGGGGCATTTTGCCAGCTGTGTTTCGCTATAAAGGCTTCAGAGCAATTTTACATCGGCTTTAGCAGGCCCCGTCTACCGGGGCTCGGTACCACAAGCAGCTCTTTGTTCCCCCGGAGATGGGAATGGCCATTTCTGGATCAGGCAAAACAGCTCGGGCCGATCCCGTCCCCAAAAGCCCCGGGGCTTGGCTGGTTTCGCTCAGACCTTCCTGCAGCTCCCCCCTCTCCGCAGCCCTGCGACACCTGAGCTACCTGCTGCATTTCCTTGCAAGCCAGCTGGGTTTGGCTGTGTGGAAACTGCACTGGAATGCTGGCTGCTTCTGAAATTGTTGAGCTGTTTTTGGTGCATTTCAGCTCGCGTGCCTCTCCTACATTGGCATCCTTCGTTATCCTGCTCGTTATAAAGTCACTGCTGAACTTGGCAAGGATTAGATACAGTTTTATAAATAAGCCAGCAGCATTCCATACGGCCCCGACTTCCAAGACTGGAACCTTGCTGCTTAAAAAAAAAATATATATATATATATATATGTATTAGTGGATAGATCATGCAAAGAGATGAAGGGCATAGGGAATATCTATCTATCTATAAGCTATTTGCTCAGCTGGCATGGCAGATCTTCACTTCCCCTTTCCTGACAAGTCAGTGGCCCTGTCCCTTTCAAGGAGGAGTCCTACCTATTTCTTGCAGAGCACCCACTGGACACAAATTCCAAGCTGGATTTGCAAGATAGGCTCTGTGTTTCCAGCTCAGCTTGGCCTTTTCAGTTCATCTGTTGGCCTATTTAAAGCAAAAAGCTACTTACCTTTGGGCATCTGTGGCTCAGTTTCCTCACGTAAAAAAAAAGGAAAAAAGAAAAAAAGCAACAATATCAGTAAAACCACTTCGAAAACTTCTGTGAAAGTGAAAATATCAATTATAGACAGAACAAACATTCAATACCATGGCTGGGCTGGAAAAGCAGTGGAGCTGGTGACAGCTCCAGCAGCTCTGTGGTTTACTTGCATACTGGACTTAGAAACTTGGCGGGGTGGTGCATGTTTAAAGGAATTAAGACTCAGCCTGGGGAGAAAATAGGCTTGGAAACTGCAAGAGCCTTAAAAGGAGCTGCAAGTGTTTCCCTAGTAAAGCGGTGAGCAGTGCTGAGGAGCAAAGTGGAGTAAAGTAGAGGGTGTAAAATGGCACGGAGTGGTGCGCAGAGGAGGAAAGTGGAGTAAAACGGAGTGCAGTGAAGCAGCATGTAGATTAGTGGAGCAAGATGCATAAAGCAGGAGCGCAAAGCAGATCCAGCCTGAAGGATCTGGCCCTGGTCAGCACTCGGAACCCTGAAGGTTTGCAGTTTTATCATTTTGCCCACTGGGGCATTGGAGCAGCTGATCTTTCCCCAAGAAAACAAAAAATGCTAATGGCAAAAAGGCAGCCCTGGGCACAAGCTGAGGGCAGCTCTGCTGGTTTCTCCTAGCCTCCCACCCACCCACTCCTCTGGTGTGTGATGTGACCTGCTGTGGAGAGGAGTAATTAACCTGCCTTGCTGCTCCAAGCCTTGGCTTCGGTGCTGAATCCCAAATGCCCACAACACATCTGCTGGATCTCACCTGCACCTTATCTAATAGATAAACTGCTGCCTTTAGCAATTTTTTTTTTTTTTGCTATCACACTCATTTCAAGAGCAGTAACTGAAAGGTACAGTGATATGTAGCAAATTATCTTTCCCTGAAGCAATTCCACATTGTTTTCCGATTTATCAGTGTGAGGACAGCACGAGCTCCTTGGCAGTATGGGAACACACTGCCATCTCCCTGCTCCTCATGAAGGCTGCAGGACACACCAAAGCACATAGAGCAGCCAATGCAAGCAACACAGGGCTGGTCTCTTGAGAGGGAAATGAAAAATGAGCAGAAGAATAAGAACTACTCCAAACCTGGCAGGTCTTACAGCATGGAGACTCTCCAACTTAGCTGCCCATTTCTGCAAACAGCACACAGAGCTAGGGACAAAGCAGTGGTGCACGTTCAAGCAAGACCCTATTTATTACGCAGGTCACGCTACAGGAAGATAAGGAATAGTGGAAGAAATCTGTGCTTCTGAAGTAACTGGAAAACAGTAGATTTCACAAATAAAACAATCAGCATTTATTGTTGTATTACAAAACACTTCATATTTTGGCAATATTTTACAGTTTATCCTTTTCCTTCTTGGGGTCTGTTGAAGAGGTATGTGGGGAAAAAGAGAAGATAATGTTGAAATCAAAGATTAACTGTCAATGTCTTTCTTAAAAAAAATCCTCCCAAACTGCCCCAGTCCCTCCCACCAAAATAAAAACCTAATTTCACTCAATTCCACTATCCAAAGAGGCCATGGGTGAAGCGGCAGGCAAAACTC